TATTGAGAGACTGTAAAATTTGACCATTTATATATATTTTAAATCATTTTAATGTATTTCGGTTTAGGGATATTAAACTGTAGTTTAATTAACTACAATTTACAATTTCTTGATAAATGGTATAGGCTCATAAATTAACTTGCTTTGTATGGATTTAGTTTACCTACCAGAAGAGTTGTTCTTCATGACATTGTTGGTATAAATAGCGCTTCAACCATTTTTTTGCTTGTAATGGTGCCGTCATGATGAGCTCTGGTATTGAGCGAAAGACCTTGTCGACATCGATATGGCAGATGTAGTGTGGTTGATATATTACTACATATGTATTATCTTTGCTTTCGCTCATACGTTCTTAGAATTGTGCGTAAACTAATACATCAGTGTGTGTTTGCGTGTTGAACTGTTTTACGAATACGGTGTATATTTCGACAACAAAGTAAATAAATACATATTTCATTAATTGCACGTCGCACTTTAATTAAATGTTGCTTTTTTCTCGACTGGAAAAGAAAACTCAAATGTGAACATGATACGTAGAAACGTCTTCGTTAGCCGATTTGCCGCGATTAATATCTTGTCTATGAAATATTGTACAAACGGAATACTATCTTTTACATTGTAAAAAACAAAACAAAAAATAGAGCCAACACAAACTTTAATACAAATTTAACAATACATTTATAAGTAATTATAAATTCTGAAAGCATTTACGGGCACTAAAAGTCTTTTGTGATTGTTTTACCTTCAAAAGCTTAATTATAGTTGTATTTTCGTGAATCATTCGCTTGTAATGTTGTGTGTGTGATATTCTCAGGTCAACTGATTTCATCAAAGTTATTAGGTAGATCCGCAGTTATAACAGGAGGATCGATAAGATGAATCACCAAATAAATCTGAGTAAGCTAAGAAATAAAGAGGGTGGACACGATATGTAATAAAAATTAGAACAATCTTCATTTATATCAAAACACAAAACACAGTATACGCACATGTGCTGGTTTGGTTTGGTTTGTTTGGAGGTTCGCGCAAAGCTACACGAGGGCTATCTGCGCTAACCGTCCCTAATTTAGCAGTGCAAGGCTAGAGGGAAGGCAGCTAGTCATCACCGCTCACCGCCAATTCTTGGGCTACTTTTTTTACCAATGAATAGTGGGATTGACCGTCACATTATAACGCCCTCATGGCTGAAAGGGCGAGCATGTTCTTTGGGACGGGGATTCGAACCCGCGACCCGTAGACTCTGAGCCGAGCGCCCTAACCACTTGGCTATGTTACGTCACATGTGCTGGACACTGGACAGTTTTCTTTTATTGGACTTGTGAGTTTGTTAACAAATGTTCTTCCCTCAGGATATCTTTCCGTCAACCATTTCAACTGATGTCATTTATAATAATGTTTTAAATCTAACGTTTGTTACTTAATGGAAACTTTGAAATTACTAATGTTGACTACCACTACCACATGGCTGGTAATTCTGATTCAACATAAGAGGGGCCTTATTCTTTAACTATCATCTGCTTTACTAGTAAAGGAAACTGGTGTTGTTGACCTTCTTGTACAACTGCAACATCACAGCGCCACCTCACGTGGCCATGGTAGGTATTATATCTAAAGAACAAAAACAAGAGGAACAAAGATAGCCAAAACGAGGTCATTTAACGATTTTCTGAACCACGTGTTATTTAAAAACTGCATAGACTCAGAATAAACGAAAAAAAAAATGTCGGACATTGCTACATTGATATGAAAAGGCGGGAAACATATTCGATTGATGTAGTCAAACTTAATTTGTTCGTAGGTCAACAATAAATAAAGAAATGAGCAAATATTATATTCGGACACAGCTTAAAATGCTGGTATATTAGAATCGTCAGACAATAGAGATGGTTCTTGCTTGTTTGTTTGTAATTAAGTACAAAGCTACACAATGGGCTATCTGTGCTCTGCCCACCACGGGTATCTAAACCCGGTTTCTAACGTTGTAAGTCCGCAGACATATCGCTTTGCCACTGGGGGCGAGAGTTCTTGACAAATTAGTTGCCATAAGTATGAGCCCCCCTTCTCCCCCTAGGTGGCTCAGCAGTGATTCTGAGTGCTTATAAAGTTAAGAGGCAGGTTTTGATACTCACGTTAGGCAGGTTCCAGATAGCCCTTTGCATAGTTTTGCACTTAGCAACAAAAAAACAAAATAAATATGAACCCTGAAGAGAATTTTTCGTAAGAAATCTCACGGATCTGCAGCGTACTCTGGATTGAATATCATGCAGCTTTAACTCTCACAGCTTCAATTGATGTAGATTATATTATTTACAAATACAGTGGTGCAGAAGCTTTTATAATAGACCCAATTACCTTGTATGAAGACAGTCACATTAATGTTTTTGTTTTTGTTTTTCCTATTGCATAATCTAATATATTTTTTTATGTATAGTTCTTGAGATAATTTGTTGAATTCATAAAATAATCGTAACCACGGTTTTTAGTTATTTTATTCAACATACTACAGTCAGGTAGAAACTATAGCTCGATATCTAAATTATTATCTTATTAACATTCACTTCTAATTAATGTATTGTACTTAATAGGTAGCAAGAATTAAGACAAGTATGTGTAAAGTCTATGTTTTCTCCATTGATTTAAAGCTGGATAATTATCTACTCGTAACTCTAAGTCAAAATAAGATACTAACATAAACTTACAAAAAATCTTGTGTTAGGTCTTCAGTGGCTCAGCGGTAACTTTTGTGGCTTATAACGCTAAAAATAGGGTTTCGATACTCTCGGTGGGCAGCGCATAGGTATCTCATTGTGTAGTTTTCTGGTTAATAGCAAAGAAAGAAGGAAACTTTTAGTAAAACACTTTGTTGCACTGTGGGTTACTGCTAGAGATACACACGAACAAATCCATTCAGTTTCTATGGGAACATCTTTTTAAACATTCCTACAGTTTAATGACTTTCCCTCTCATTCATTGCTTCCCATAGCTTGAGCCTCTGTTAAACGAAGTTATCCGCTTTCAATTAATTTTTTCCTCAAGGTGACACATTAACCTCATATTTCTCTCATAGCTCAACAGCAAAATAAAGTTCACAAAAATGTTATTACTGCTCAAAACAGTTAAAACCTAATCCAATAAAAAAAGAAAATAAATCTATCCGCTGTGATGTCTCGTGTTTGGGTTTGTAAAAAAGAAAATTATTCAAAGCAAATTATTATAAGTTGAAAAAATATCTTAAAAATTGAAAGTGTAGGAATTGGTGCACTAAAAAGTGAGGAAACAAGGTAGAAATGGGCATAGTGTAATAAAATTTCCTCTTTACAATCTCACAAGAGGGCGTGTCCAGCATCCTGTCCATGCTTACTTCGTTTATTTTTTTCTATCCTGTATACAGTAAGCCAGGTTGACTAAACTTATCAAACTTAGTTATGCTTATCATACAATGACTAGAAGTTTTTGTGAATCGAATTATTGGAGGCAATACATGTACTGTAAAGTCTGTTTGTACGACACCAGATAAATCAGATATTCGTGTAGACCCATAACTTGTATATATTTTTTATTAGAACTTGTCCCTCCTTTTGCAGTTGCATAAGAAGGCAACGGGATTTCATACATTAGTTAAAGTGGATAAAAAAATCCTAAGAGGTTTCTATGTATCGACGTCATGGATTTGTTACTATATATACAAAAGTAGAAGAATCATAGACACAATTTTGTATGTACCCATAAGTTGTATAATATCATTAACACAGAAAACGAAGTAGGCATGGACCATATGTTGGACACGCCTTCTTGTGGGGATGTACAGAGAAAGTTTTACTACACCATACCCATTCCTACCTTGTTTTCACACTTTTTGATGCACTCATTCCTATACTTTCAATGTTTTAATTTTTTTTCCCATTTGTTCATGAACTTTTTTTCATACAAGGTGACATGATATTATACATCATTCATTCATTTGTGTTGACATTCTGTATGTATATCATCAGTTTGGGTGTGCACCATAATATAACGGTATGTGCAAATAATGGTGTGTGTACATTGTGATGACACAAACTATATTGTGCAATGTCATTTAGGTGATATAGTGTGAATTCTGGTTGTGTGTATATATTAAGGGATGATGAATTAGTTAATTAATTTAATCAATTACTTCACGCTAGCACTAGCACGTGATCCCTGTGCTATTGTTCTACATGGTGCACTTATAACTATGGTAAGTCTGTTTGTTATACAGCTAGAAACGTTCAATATTATCAGCCACTGAGATTGAGAAATTTATGGTTTGTGAACTTTTTGTATCTACTCTGCTGACTTTCTCAAGTGGTTCTATGATTTGTAATTTTGTATGTGGTTTGGTTGTCATCTAAGGGTGTCTCTCAAATACATTTGAATAACTGTTTTGAATAATTTGGTTTTTAAAGGTGTATATGAATAAATAGTTTGTATTGCATGTATTATGTATCCACCCCATTCCTACTATACGTACTACCGTATTTATATAAACTGTCTAGATGTTATTTAATGTTTAACAGAATGATCACTTTTTTTGACTGAATATTTGAAGTAATTGGTCCGAAAAATATTTTTCTTTACGGATTGACAACCTCCAATGGTTCGGTTCAGAAACATCGGAAAATACAAATTGATTCCATACGTAGAAAAATGTTTCAAGTGTAATATACTCTAATTTTAATGAGTCGGTTATTGTTGTCTTAATGTAAAGGTACATCGCAGGGAATCGAACGCCGGATTTTAGTGCTGACCCACGGTGGGGGGGGGACTGACGAGTCAGGCCTCGCATTGATGATTTCCACTATAATTCATTAAATCCATTATTTGAAGATTATTGCATATGTAATAAATAAATAAATAACCCAAATGAAGTAGCATAAATATTATTTTATTTAATCGTCAAGATAATTAGAAGTGGTTTAACTTCAAATCCATAATTTCGTTGAAAAGCAACAAGCATATTATTTGAAAGACAAAATAATTTTTATTAGTCATTCAGAAAGGTATGATTTACAGGAACTTTAATCAATCTTCATTACAAAATCATTTTGGACAACTTTCGACAGAAACTACCATAACATATTTTGAAAATTCCATTATTTCTTCAATATTTTCAGATCGTTTCTAATGTTTGACCGGTATTTTTATAACTCACTTAATGGTTATTGGTCGTTTTACTACTTTATTATCGTACAAACCCTGGGAACGAAAATCTAAAACATCATACGGAAATATTCATATGTCATAACTTTACATTGGCATTTTCTATACATAAAAACTGGATCATTTTGCCTTTTATTATCATTTAACGAAAATTATAGTAACACTATATCAATTTTAATATACTTATTCAAATGTTCGTATCTTATTATTGAGATGTGGTTAACTTACATCTTGAGAACTGGTGTAGGTAATGTAAAATCAGGATGTAAAACAAGAACTGTAAAGTTTTCAAACTGTAAAAAGTGGAGAACGAATAAGAAAATTAGCGCCTAATAAATAATCTTTTTAAACATAATTAAATAAATTCAAGATATGTATTTGAACTTCTGTTATTAATAAAAAAGACATAATTGCATAAACCAACTTTTAGGGTTACATTAAGTGGTTAAAAGCAAATGTTCTATTTCTTATGACCGTAGGGTGCATAATGAACAGCATGAACAGGACTATAGGAAGCTTGGGAATAACCGTAGCTGGAATGGTGGACAGGAGCGGGGGCACCATAAGGACTAGGGTAGATTGGTCCAGCGTGGGCGGTATTAGTAGTGCGGGTGACTTGTTCATAGCCGAGATGAGGATCACGTCTAGCCTGGTGGGTGTATGCGTGTTCATTTCCGGCAACGTAGTTCAGGTGAACGTTGTAAACGTCGTCAGCAGCGTAACCATCCTGTTTCACCTCGGCAGACAAACCATGGGGACCGTAAGATGCACGAGTTTTCTGAGCAGCTTGGCTCAGGGCACTAAAGCCGTGACCCTGCAGTCCCTGAACGTCACTTACTTGAGATTTCGTGTAACCGCCTAAGCCAGGATGGTTTGCATGGGCCGCCTGAGACGTATGGGCGGCGTGGACAACTCCTCCAGGCACAGCAGCAGCGTGGGCACTGTGGACGGCATGGTTCGCGTGGTTTCCATGAGGAGAGACATGAGCGGACGCATAGCCCTTTTTTAATGCCCTGTGATCAGGAGCAATTTTGGCATCATAGCTGTTCTCCTGATAAGCAGCAGATCCAGATAGGGGACTCAGATATCCAGTAGCATCGTTGGAATGGGCAGCGGCCTTGCCGAGATAAGGGTTGATATGAAAGGCATGCTCCGAGTGCTTGACGTCCGCTGCTCCTGTATAGGGGTTGGTGTGATGTCCGTGAGCTGCGTGCTCAATTGTGTGGCCTCCCAAAGCGTCCTTTGAGACAGATGTGTGCTGTTGTACTCCTCCGCTAGGCTTTACTGCGTTGGCGATCGTCAATCCGTTTCGAGAACCATAGTTCAGAGGAATCAATACATTCGGACCTAGGCTCTGATGAGGGATGGGAACCAGAGGAGAAGCCCTCAGTCCAGCAGAGAGCGGGTACCCAGCAGCTGCAATGTTGACGACAACGAAAAGAACTACCTAGTAGGGAAGAAAGTTCAATATTGACTATAAATAAGTTATCTCAGAGTTATGTCAGTAGTGGTGGCTAAATATGTCAAACACATTACATTGGTCAAAACACACAAAAAAAGATACTTTTTTTTCAGGAATATTATTTGTACAATTAATAGGAATATAGGATGATTCGTATATATTTTTATCTAACCAAAAACACCCTGGGTGTGAAAAAAAGGTGCGGCCAAAAAAGGACTGAATGGGCGACTTAAAGTAATGAAATCAAAATTGGCGGCCAAACTGGTGGCTACACTTATAGCATTGATAAGAATTTTACACAAATGTTGATTGATTAGTTAGCGAGGCCGCGTATTTTGTTATACCCAACATTATTCCCCAAACTGAATAAAAATTTCACATCAAACAATTCTTGTACTGCTAACTCTGATGAAGCCACAATGGCAAAACGTTGTCCGAAATGAAAAGTTTCTGTTTATGATAATCTGAAGAGCAAAAGTGATTTTTCTAGCCTTATTGTCAAAATGTCTAAAATCCCTCCAGTATATATAAAAAAAAAAAACATTCCGAAAAAATTAAGATATCTATCACAAATATCTATCCACATTGTTTCGTGGTGCATGAAACACTTAATCGTGACAGTCTGAATGAGTTACATTATCGGCTTATGGAATTTAAAGAGAGTAAAGCATTACGAAACATCGTTAAACGGGCAACATAAGCCACTGTTTCGTAACCAAACATGAATACTATTGCTATAGGACCTAATGTTTCAAATAGATATAATGAGTTGGTTACTTAAACAAAGTTATAGAAGGACTGGGAGGAACATCGAATTTGAGCTAGTATCGCTCACTCTTGATAAAAGACAACCCACCTCCCGAAACTTCTGGAATTAAAGAGCTTTATATATATTTATGTAAATCAACATTGTCACCTGTTGACGATTCTAGAAATAAAGCATTACAGTTGGAAAGATTTAAGTAGAAATTTAAGCTCACATCAAGGCAGGTGAGTTGATTCATTTTATGTTTAATACAAAAATCATCTACATTAAAAGTGATTAATATGCAGGTTCTTGGCTTTATGTTTGAGCTCCTTCGTCAGTTTAAGGGACCTGTTGAGCTTTTATAGACTGTTCGCTTTCTTATGGATGTAAATACAATTGACGAAAACTTACCAACCAGTACATTATCTCCTACGTTTTTCAGTAACTGTCTCGCCAATGGAGGAATTGATACAAAACTGCGAAATTGTAATAGGCTTCCTTCTTTTATAGGTTCATTTGTAACCGGTGGGTTACGACCTTCAAACGGTTATCATTATCGGTTTCTCTCTAGATCTTGACCTAATTTATCGACTGTTCCAGCTACAAGTAACATAAAGCGATGGAACTGTACCGGTTTTCTAGATGGGCGAGGCTGAGAACTTCGTGTCTTAGAGTTGTGTCATATAGCTGTGGTTAAAATGCATTCAGGAAATGGCACTGTTTAAAAGGTCATACTTTAATGTATATTTTAACTTGATCTGAAAGTTGGAACTGGCTAAACGTCCACGTGATTTTCAGGATATAACACTCTGCATGAAAACATGATTTCAAACTTTTAATGAACTTTCAGTTCTCTGCGTCGTTCATTAAATTCATGGAGTTACTTAACTTATATCAAATGAGAAAGAAAATGAAAACATTCGGTTTAGCTTTTCAGATTCATTTTCTTCTGATACCCTTTATGTTCATCATTGTGTGATTACAATTATCCCTAAAGATCAGACGGATGACTGAGAACAAACGATTAATATACCAGGGACTTTACTGCACCTCTTAAGAAGTATTTATTCAATTTTGGAAACAACTTTTGTTATTAGACGAAATCTGAACGCTAGATTTTATCTTGGTGATAAAAACAAAGGTGAACAGTGAAATCTAAACAAGTTTACATGCCTGAAACAAATGTGTCTGTCATGTTGAATATTATTTACTTAAGGTAAGCATAAACTTGTTTATTTGAAAGGCAAGCGACAAGCAAGTAATCTGTAGTGTCATATACACTGCTCACAGACTATAACTTCGTGTCATATACATTACGAATGACAACATTAGTATCGTGTCGTATAAATTTTACACTGACAATAACAAAGTCCAGTTGTTGCATCGATTTCACTTTAACAAAAACACTATTGTGCCTTCTAGGCTTCTCGCTGGGAACTATAACATTGTAGCATATAAACTTCACACTGAAACAATAATATCTCATGTATTTCACACTGACAACAATATCTTGCTGCTAGACTTCCCACAGCAATAATGTTATATCACTTAGGTCTTTCGCTAGAATGTCTGTCTTATCATATAGACTTCATACACTGATAGTAACAATATCTTGCCTTATATATTCGCAATTAAAATTCAATTTTGCTTTACATAATCCATATTAATCACAAAAATATCGATTCATGTTCACAGATTTTTAAACAATTTTACAAACATTTAAACATGCTCTACCATGCTGCAAGGGTCAGAGGGCAGGGAATAGTAATGTTACGTAATAGATCAATACTGTCGGCCATATTTGTTGATGCTTTCTTCTCTGATGCGGTGAGGAAATGGGTGCCAAAAACTTGGTCTATTTTCTTAGCCCACTTTTTCAGTTATACCGGTTTGGGGGATACCACCTTTCCTATTGAGAAACCTTGAGGGCGTTACTTATCCGTTATGAATATTAAAATTTTAATTACGAAAACTACATGTGTCTATCCAAGGAACCTTTTATTACAATAGAGGATTTAGTGGTGAGAAACAAAAACACGGAAGAATTTGAAGCCTTTACCACCATAACTCTGGGAAGAAAAATTCACGAAATTTTGGAGATAATAACATATTGTCAAAAGTACTATTAATAAAAGCCTGTTCCCTGAATCCGTTCCTCATTGTGTAGCTTTGCGCTAAGAAACCATCAACACAACACGTATTCCATTGAATCCCTGGCGTATAGGAGACTGTTTGACACTTTTGCTAGTGGAAGTGGGGATGGGGTAAAAAAATCGTTTTTTTTAGGATGGCTAAAATTTTCAGATAATATGTAAATAAATTTCTCCAGGTAGTGACGTTGTAATAGAAGGATTTCACGTACATTATAATATTTCTTGTAATAATTCGTCTAATGATACAGATTGTACCATTAAATAAAAATTCTATCATCGTTCAATTATTTCTCTAATCAATTTACAAAAGTTTATTTTATTTATCATAAAATACCCCTGAACACTTATAGTTGTGGGGAGTTTATAACTGTGACTGTCAAACCGGCCTTTCGATTATAACCTCATAATAAGCGGTTTGGTTTGTTTTGAATTTCGCGCAAAGCTATACGAGAGCTATCTGCGCTAGCCGTCCCTAATTTAGCAGTGGAAGACTAGAGAGAAGGCAGCTAGTCATTACCACCCACCGTTAATTCTTGGGCTACTCTTTTATCAACGAATAGTGGGATTAACCGTCACATTATAACGCCCTCACGGCTGATAGGGTGAGCATGTTTGCTGGGACGGAGATTAGACTCCATGACTCGCAGAGTGCGAGTCGAGCGCCCTAATAAGCAGTTGTCTTCTCCCTTGTCTAAATGAGAGCTTGCAATGCCTAAATATAAGGAATATCTCATTCGACCATGTTTCACATAGTTACCATTCGTGTTGAAAATTTCCAATATCTGTCTGTTTTATTTTGAATGCATATTATCAGGATTTCAGGTTGCTTGTCCGTGTAATTTTCATATTGACAAGTCTAATTTCGATGTTGTTTGATAAAGAGTTATTCAGTTGTGGGAATATATTTGTTCATTAGTTGTATTTGTAGAGAAGGTATTGTACATTTTATGAAATGTATCAAGCGTTTAAGAGTTCAAGATTGCTATTATCGTTGTTGAATGTCATGCACACAAAAATCATCAATATCATTATATACCCTAGAAGTATCTTATGGACACTAGCTGTCAAAAGTCAAATACAAAAGCAAACTATTCAATAACTTACAAGTGGATAAAAAGGTCACCAATTCCACCTTATGAATTGTTTCCCACAGATATAAAAAATCGTTGAGTTGTTGAATCGATCCGCGAATGTTAAAATTAAAATATTCACAAGCGATTGATTAGCGCCACATAATAAATAATAATTATTTCAGATCAGAGTACGCTATCTACTTAAAACGAAACTAGAAGTCAATATGGTCATTAGTATAACTAATTATATATACCTTTCTTGCGTATCTACCTACAAAAATTAGAATACATTGTTTCGTCATTAAAACTAGAGATAAATAAGTCAGACTGAAAATCACAATCTATTTTTCTCGTGTTCTTCTGCAAGTATATAAGACGAAGAAGGGAAAATCGCCAGTCTCATATAGTCTCTAAAATATACACCTGGAAAAAAGTTAAGCACCCCCGTGTTTTTTTCAAGTGATTCAGATTCGACG